TTATAGTCGCTAAAAATTGTGCGGCACAGCTGATTGTCACACAGCTGATGGTCAGAATTTTTTTTAAAAAAAAGTAAGCATTTTTTTTTAAACTACCAGTTCGCCCGAACTGGAAGTAAAAAAAATGCTTTAAAAAAGTAAGAAAAAAAGTTCCAACAATCAGTTGTGAGACAATCAGCTGTACCGCATGATTTCTATTCACTAGAATGCTTTCTAGTGAATCTAAATCGGCAACACAGCTGTTTCCCCCCCCCCCCGCGATGTTCTACTTACCTGTGCAGACTCAGAAAAGGCTTCTTAGAGCCTGTGGTGCACATGCCTGCGTGAAGCAAACCAGTAGTAGACTTCAGAGCATTTCACCCCTGTCCTGAAGTCATGGGATCACCTTTTGTGGCCTTTTCTGACAAGCAAAGTCAATGGGGAAGCTGGATTCACTTAACAGCTATGTTACTAACTTAACAACTGCAGGGATTCACTTAACAGAAAAAAGGCAAGAAAGGTAGTAAAACGGGGCAAAATTCACTTAACAACTGTATCACTTAGTAATTGAAATTTTGGGCTCAGTTGTGGTTGAGGACTATCTGCATGGCAGAACCAGCGATATATAGCTGGCAGAACCTGGTTCTAATTCTCAATTTAAATCCTTCTTGAAGCACAGAACGAACACTTTCTCTACAACCAATCCCTCCACCCCAAGCAGAACTTTAGTATTCTTTTCAAAAGAACACTAAATCCATATTTGGAATGCTGGCTTAGCACTATTGCAGAAGAGCGTTAAATTTACCTCCATAAGGAGCCTGGGTAAGACCTGACAAGCACTTGGGTCAGTTATTACCGTGGCACGACAAAACCGCGCTCATCAAAATAGCGGTGATAAAACCGCGTCGCTAAAGCCGCGACGTCATCACCGCGCGTCATCACCGCCGTGACAACAGCACAGCGACAGAAGGGCGCTTTAAAACAGCGCGGCGGCAGAAAGCCGATTTAAATTAAGGTAAGGGTTAGGGTTAGGGTTAGGGTTAGGGTTAGGG